TTCCAATTTCCAACAGGGTGAGCCACCAAGGAAACACTCTTGGCTCTGTCCATGGGGAACAGGGCTTCCCCAGTGGTCAGAGCTGCTGGTTCTGTGGGAAGGCCAAAGGGGCCCCAGGCCATTGCCTCCGGTCAGCCCTTGGGACATCCCACGCTGGCACCTTAAAGAGGCATAGCGGAAGACAGGTCACTAGTTTCTCATGACCCTAAGCTTCACTTGGACCCACTGCGTGGAGGTGCTCGGCAGTGCTGGCACGGTGGTGGTGGTCTCCTGTGTGGGCTGTGTCCGGGGAGGGACACCCTGTTGGCTCACAAAGCGCCTGCATCCCACGGTGCAGGACTGTGTAGGTGGGTTCTGCCTGTCAGAGAATTCTCTGCCTTCAGAGTTAAAATAAGCCTGGTTAGACATGTTTCATCAGCCCTAGATGTCTTTGTAGATGTGCCTGGCCGTCAGAGCCGTGTTCTGTGTGCATGGTCTGCGTCTCCGGGTGAGTGGAGTGCCAGTCGTAGGGCAGGGGCACATCTTCCTGAGCTGGTGTAGCCAGTACCAGCATAAGCTTCCTTGGTGAGGTGTTTCTGTGTTGCTGCAGACCCCTGTCTTTTAAAAGCTAGGGGAGGCTTTCCCTACATTTTAAAGCTGCTTGATCTCACTGAGAATTGGCTCTAGAGGTTTTATTCACCTCTCAAGTATTAAATGAAAATTTAGATGCAGACTTCTGTGTTGTCCAGCACCTCCCCAAATGGAGCAGGTTTCCTGGCTCTGGGGTCAAGGATGGCGGCATCTTGGGTGGTGATCACACCGGGTTGTGACTCCACCTCTCAGGGGGTAGTTATTTTGAACCAGTCCTAGGTGATTTTCTGTCATAAATAGCTCTGTCCAACATGTACTGGAGTCTTGTCTAGTCACATACCTGCTTTGGCAAAGTAAAAGGTAAGGCAGTTTTTACAAATGGTCAGTTATTTCTCCTTTTAACTGGAATAGGAAGATGGGAAGGGAAAGTGCTTCTTTTCTAAAACAGAATCAAAATTGATAATTTTGGAAGTAAATGCTTTTTTCTGAAATGTCTACAAGCCACCTTTCTGAGCTGCAGCGTGGACTGTTGACCGCTTCTGCAGTGGCAGCAGGCATGTGGGAGGAGTGAAGCCCAGATCAACGTCCTGAAAATTCCAGAGGCCGCCTTTAATTTTGTGGTTTATAATGCAATTTTAAAAAGTTAGTAATTGCATCCTCCACGCCCCCATCCAACTACTCGAGCCTGTCCGATTTCCGGGTGCTGGGAGTAAGGACATGAAGGCATCGGAGTAAAAGTAAAATACATCACCCAGGGTTCTGGGCAGCTGGGGATCAGCCAAGTGGCTGAGTGTCCTGGCAGGTACTTTATGGAAACAACGTGCTGCAAAGATTGCGTGTCTCCAAAGAAAGTAATTCTAGGCTGTCTGCGTTAGCACATTCCTCCCACGTTAGAGAGTTTCTTTACTAAAACCTGGAAGCCTTTGGTCTGTTTGATTTTTATCCTGCTCTGCTGGTGAGAAGCTGTCTGTGTTAACAAAAGGCACATCCAAGGGGATGGCTCAGAGTGGAGGCCCGAGCACAGCAAGTGGGTCTCTAGTTAAGGGTCAGTTTTTGCTTTAAGATGGCGTTGTGCCTGGCTCTTTTCTATGCAGTTTTATTTGGAGTGTCCCCAAGTCCCTTTGCCACCAGCTCTTCCAGCCCCCTAGTGGCAGGTCTGCCCTCACGTCGCGCTTCAGTGACAGCCAGCCTTCCTGAGATGGTGACTCGCTTGCCTTCACAGTCGGCCTGTTTGCCTAGCGCGCTGCTCTGGCTGCACGCGGGCTCCATTCACTGACGGAGCACCACTCGGCACGGGGCTCTTCAAGCTGAGACACAGGTGCCCTGCTTTTATGGGGTGGTGTTCTGAGGGGAGATGGAGGGTCCTCTTGTCTCATCTGTCAGGTTTTCTTTTTAAAACCTGCTTTTTGGAGACTTGAAATTGCAGCTGTAGCCTAGTTGTCACTTTCACTGGCACCTGAATTCCAAGACAAAACCAAGCCTCAGCGTGTAGACGCGTAAACCTACTGCCTTGTACCCCAGGCAAGGCCGTCCCTTCGTTTGTAGGAGGATGTCGTGGCTTTGGCCCAATGGCCTGCAGTGGTTCTCAGTTAACTGCCAGGCTTGGCCTATCAGGCGTTGGAGAGTGCAGGCCCCTCGTCTCCGCGGTGACTGGCTGGGAGCTGAAGGTTGTGAGAGTTTCGTCAACTGCTACCTGGAACGTCCGTCCCCAGCCGGGTCCCCCGTTTTTTAAGATGTCTTGTTCACCACTGAGTTCTTGAAAGTACCTTGCTTCACAGTGAAGATGGAGCCTTGCCTGCCACTGACTTGGGGTCTGTGGAGGATTAAGAAAATCTTTGCAAAAGACTGAAGTCCTTGGTTTGATGCCTCTGGTTTTAAAGCACCTCTTTTTTAGAATTCTTTTGGCCTCAGACCTGCAGATTTCTGTTTTTTTCTCAAATACACAAGTCACACTTTCTGTTTCTCCCACATTCTAATCACTGAGAATTTGTGTTTCTCATTTATTTATACTGGTTTTCATTGGAAACAGTCTGAACAGTTTGGGGAATGCTCTAGAACGGGTACACTCATTTCTGTATTGAAAATGACTCGTGTGCCTCTAAAATTAGAAGTAACTGAAGCTGTGAAGTTCAAGTCTCTGTTTTTAGATGTTCATTTGAAAGAAATAGCACTGAAGGTTGTTACTTGTACGTGTCCTCTGACCTGGACATAACTCCAGGTGTTCATACGCGTAAAGAACCAGAGTGTGTGCAGAGGTGCGTTTACAGGGATGTTAGTGACGGTGTTCACGATGGGAAGGGGAACGCCTCCCTGGTGGGCAGCAGCGGGGAGCTGGGTGGTGGGTAATCCAAGCACGTGTGGATTGTTACTCTACTTAAAGATTCTTTTGAATTCAAGTGATGGGAAGCGTTCATGCCATACTAAATGAGTAAAAGCAAGGTGCAAAAGTGATTTTTTCCAGTCCTTTTGTGAAAATGCATGCTTATTAGACTTGAGAGCAAATGCTGCATGGCTGCCCCCGGAGTGAGGAGTGAGATTCCCAGGTGCTTGCTGGAGGTGTTTCCTGCACAGAGATGCCTGGAGGAAGAGTTGCCACGTGTGCACATCAGCTTTTCTCCAAGATGCGCAGAGTGGCGGTTCCATAAGGAAGGTGCGTGCATAGCTTCAGCTCTACAAGTTTTGGAGCCAAGACTTAACGCACGTCTCCAGTTGCGCTGCATCATGGTGTACGGGGCCAGAGACGCACTTGGGCAGTACCGACACGCCTGTCTTGATCTTGGCTTTTACCTTATTTTCTGTTTCTGAAATAAGTGAATTTTTTTTTTTAATTTGAGGTTCGTTTTGATGATTTTTATGTTGTTCAGGAAATGTTGTTTCTTTATGGAAAACAGTTGGAAGGATGGGGGCATGACGCAGAGGGCCCTGCATTTTAAGAAGTACTTAGAAATGCCTCGAGTTATGTAACTGCTTTGTGTTGTCCAGGTAACAACCTTCAATGAGAATTTATACCAACAAGTAAATCTAGAGTAGATAATCTGAAATTTTATGACTTCATCAAAACTGCACATTTCAGGAATTTTTTATTGTGGGAAAGTCAGTTTCTGGGTTGGGCACTAAGCTCATTAATGATCCATAGGTCATTCAGTTGTTTGATGGCTGTGGAGCTTTCAGTGCTCTGACAACAAGGAATAAGAAGCATTTGCCTTAAAGTCCTCTGCTGAGGTGCAGGGAACCTAAAATTGCCTTTGTTTTCTGCAGCTCAAAGCTCGGAAGACTCCATGCCAGTCGTGAACGGCGAGGCAGAAGACGATGCTGACAAGATGCTCGTCGATAGAGAGTTTGCTGTTGTAACAGGTGGGAGTGGACAGTTTCCCGTTAGCCGCAGCAACGGTCCAATGGTCGAAGACACCACACGGCAGGAGGGTGGTTCTGTTGGACCAAAAGAAATAGAAATCTATACGGTCTCAGCAATGCAGACCCCCTGTCGTTGCAAGAACCAGTATGCATGTTATTTCTAACATGAGTGGCTCTCAGTTTTTGCACTTTGTCCAGCGTTTTAAAGAATGTTATGCTATGATTTGCATAGGTTGGACAAGTTTATAGACACAGGGAAAAGTGTTTCGGTGCATTTTATGGATGTGAAAATAAGTGCAATGTTCCTATTTTGATTTGACACTTTTGCTTAACGTGCCTTGTGTAATTTTATGAGGTTGCGCATTTTTCATTTTCTGACATAAGACGTTGGGCAAATATCCTGAACAAACATCTGTTGCTCGTCATTTCCGAGTGACGGACAGCAGGAGGCCAGCCGGCCGTAAGCACTGGGGGCCAGGCGGCATGGTTTTGGCTCGTGACCAGTCAGGCCGCTCAGTGCGTTGGCTGGTCTGGTTTGTGTGGCCTTCACGCTAAGGCTGCTGAAGTGCTGAGCACTGAGTCTCACAAAACACATCTTACCGGCTGGGGAGTTCAGCACATTAGAACAGTTGATAGTCATTTTCAGTTTTTAAAAGGCAAAGGCTCCATTTCTTTTAGTATTTAAAGATTTATTCATTTAGTTAATGCTTTTTTGCCCACCATTTTGTTTAGGTGACCGTGGAAACACTTCAGCCATTCTCTTAATGTGTTAATATATTTGGAAATAGATAGTAGGTTTTTTTTTTTAAGTTTTATTATTACGTCTGTATGCTAAATTCTTCACTGGGAATAAAAGTATGTATTTTGTTTCCCAGACATACATGAAAAAAATCATTTTTGTTCACTAAAATGAAAAGAAACTGTGTACATCTTTCTAGAAGCTACAGAATTGTTATGGGTGGAGTCACCATTTTGCCAAAAAATTAAACGAACTGGGTAGATTTTCCAAGGGAAATTCTGATTGGTTACTACATTCAGAGACCTTGACCAAAGATTAAAAAACTCAAACTCAGTTTTTGTTTTTTTTTTCAAATGGCATTGCTACATGCTTTTAAAAAGGCAGAAGTAATCACTCCCTAATCTTCAAACATTAATTCCCTGGGTTTTCAGGTTGAACTTAATGCCACGCTTGAAACTAAAGCTGAAAAGGCCACCCTTTCTTTAAGCTCAGCTCACCCATATAACAGGTGCCAAGTAACCATTCCCCGTATTCTCCATTGTTTACAACACTCTCTGACCGAATAAAGAGTATGAAGTCGCTGGAGATTCCTCGCAGGAGATGGGTGAGTGGGCGGGGTGGGAGTCCTGGAAGGCAGAGGAGGGCAGAGGGCGCAGTGGAGGCGCCGTGTGTGAGCCCGTCTCTGGGACGTCCACTGGTTCCCTGCTCAGTTTTACTGGGTGTCCCATGATGACATGGGGTCAAAACTGACCTTGATTTTGAGATCGCATAATGGAACTAATCTACTTTAACTGGACACGAGAGAAGAACTATGCGTACACACAGTGGACATTAAACGAAGAAAGGTTTAGTTAACTCGGATTCCCAAGACCCAGTCGCCTGAACGTAGCATTGCCTTTGTCGGTGGTGTTCTGAGTGTCTTAGTAACTGCCAAGGCCGCCATCCTGCTCACGAGTCTCATCACCCAGGCAAAGGTGTTTATTTTTAAAATATATATATATATATATATATATAAATGTTTCCTGAGAACAAATTGTTTTATTTTTTCTTTTACTTCATGTTTAGTTCTTGAAACTCTTGTTCTCTAGCCTTGAGTTTAAATAGAAAAGCTGTCATTTAATTTGAAAAGTAAGAATCCATAATCCTCTGAAGAATTTACTGCAGCTGTTAAACTATGATTGTCACTTAAATTGCCAGAACATTGGTGATTAATGGAATGTTTAGAAGATTTTTTTTGTTCATTGAACAAGCCGTGATTTTTTGTTAGCAGGAAGATTTGCAGGACTCCCAGAAACCTATGTGTGAGTGCAAATGAGAGGTGTAGAGATGGCGGGACGGAGCGTGAGCCCTTCGCGGGAGTCCCGTGACCGGGGTGTGTTAGGGTCGTGGGACAGACATACACGTGTCCTCATTCTGGAGATCATAGTCAGTGCTTCTGTGTTTAACATCATACCTCACTTCACTAGTGCAGAGCAAGGGGGTAAAATTACTCTCAAGCAAGGCAGCGTTTAGATCACTCTTTGCACTGTTTTATGAATTCCTGTGGACACGAGTATTAATTCCTAAGTTTCGTTACACAGAAAAATACCTTGTAACTGCCTGTTCCCACGTGCCCAAGCGTTCTGTGACTGACTTTTTTTTCCCGTGAGACGGCCTCTTCTTAGCAGATGTCTGTACATGCAGATTAAACTGTCAACATTTTTCCAGCGTAAGTGGTTTTTGAAAGTGGACCCTTGGATATCATAGTCACTAACCGCTGAACTCAGAAGAAACTCTTCAGAACTGTGCTGTCGGCCCAAGACTGTGCGCGGAATCAGTAGGGTCCGCGGTCCTCCCTGCAGTGGCCACGCTGCCAGGGTGCCCCGCGGCCCTCTGCGGCGCTGCAGGAAGAGCGCCCCTCCTCTTCGGTGGGCGCGCCCCTGGCCGGGCTGAGGCCTCGGAGAAGCATCCCGCGAGGCTGTCTCGCTTCGTCCAGGAGCTGCCTCGGTTCACGTGCTTCACGGACAGCTTTTCTTTCTTTACTTTTTTTTTTTTTTTTTCATTTCTTAAATGAAGTTTTTCGTTTTATTTTAACCCTTTGTGGGAACCCTTACGTTCAATTCTGATGGACTTTTTCAGGGGTGATGATTTTAAAAATTGCTCTTCAGAAGCAGTCTTAAGCTGAGAACAGTTTTGATGGCTTTTCAGTACTGTTGGTATTTTTCGTGCAGTGTATTTGTCAGCTGAAGTTTTTTTTTGTTTGGCTCCCCAACGTAATGAAAATGATAAATGTCTCACACTTATGAGGCAGACGCTACTGTTGTGTTTTATTTTTAAACCTACCTATGCGCCATTTTTGTACCTTGCAGGAAGAACTGGTTTGTTTAACGAAAATGAACTAAATAAATCCTTTAAAATTGTAGCAGCAATGAAGCGTTTTATAGTCTCTCCTCCCCTCTGGTTCTGAATTTTGGTGACAGGTGTATTTCTTAATGCAGATATGAAAAACAGTAGCTCCGTATCGAATACAGTGACTAATGGATGTGTCATCAATGGACATTTGGACTTCCCCTGCTCGACACAGCTCAGTGGGATGGAAAGCAGGAATGACCAGTGCTTAACAGGACCTAACGGAATTGGCAGTGGGTTAGTTCCAGGACCGCCATTTCCGCGTAGCGGGGGCTCCCCCGGTGTCAGTGGGGCGGAGGAGCCAGAGAAGATGGTGAGCGCCAGCGCCGAGATGTGCGGGTCCCTGCACCTGAACGGGAGTCCGAGCAGCTGCGTGGCCAGCAGACCTTCCTGGGTGGAAGACATAGGGGAGAATCTGCACTACGGACACTACCACGGCTTTGGGGACACTGCCGAGAGCATCCCCGAGCTGAGCAGCGTCACGGAGCACTCCCGCTCCGTGGAGGTGGAGGAGGGGTACGCCAGCGCCGTGCTGGGCGCCGCGCACCTGTACCACGGCTCCTAGGCCGCGCCGGCCGCCGCGAGGGGCGCCCCCGCCCGGCTGCTTCTGTCCCTGCGCCTTCGGGCGGAGCGAGCTCTCGCGTGGCGGTCCCCGTGAGCCCTCGTGGGAGGGGCGGCGCTGCGTCGGGGCGCGGGGGTCCTTCCGCGGGGTAGTGGGCCTCTTTCAGGACGCACTTTCGGAATTTAGTTTTTCTGCTGTCAGTCTCAACATTTCCTTTCGCACAGTGTCACCGTAAGTTGTCATTTCTCCTTTGTCCACTTAAGTTGTATCTCATCAGGATAAATTGGAGGCAGTATATGAGATGCTTGGTAATTGACCCAAACGGCACAGCGGCATCGTTTTGGTAAGCTTGCTTTGACTCTTCCCTGTGGAGTTTCGACAGAGGACAGAGATTTCCCTATGCAAGGTACAGCTTTAGAAAGATTTCTCGCAGTGATTTGTACGGAGAAAAGAACGTTTGTCTTTTTCCAAGTCTTCATTGAGACTTGGCTGCTGGCCGTGTGGTGACGGTCTCACCTGTAGACGCAGTGTTCGGGGGCGTGAGTGGCCCCTTCCCCACGGGGCGGCTGCTGCGCTGGATTTCACTGGCAGCGCGCAGCCGGGGACTGACTGCTGGCGGAGGCGTTCTTGCTCCACAGGTCCTGCTTGGTCTCTAGGGCCTTTACCGCAGGGAGCGGCTGCCTCTATGGGCCGTGGACGTTGCTCTTTGCAGGGACTGTCAGGTCGACACATTTAACTGACTCTTTTGACTCATGTTTTCTTCTTTCCTTGTTTTTGTTTTCTGGGGGGTTTCTGCTTTTAAATATATACCACTCCGTATATCCAGTTAACTGAGAGAATTTTGGGTCTCTCATAATAAAACCGCAGTAAGTTTGTGGTTTTAAAGCAGTTAGCTTCTGTTTAGGCAACTAGTGGTCACACTGCGCAGATAGTGCCGTGGGTTTCTACTTTTCTGATTTTTGTAATAAAAATTGGTGACAATAGAGAAAATGTCAAGTGAACAAACCAATGTTCTCCGAGTGCTACTAACATTTTGTTTTTAAACTGTTCTTTACAAATTGAATAAAAACTCTCACACTTGGTTTGTGCCTGCGTCTGCTTCGTCTCCCGGGCGTGTGGGGGGCCGGGGGAGAAGTTTACTCTTTCCTTTCAGGGGCCTTTGCAGGTAGTTGTGGTGGCTGTACACACGAGCAGAACACTACAGTGGTGGTTTTGTAAAGGTTTGTTGCCGTGTTGAATCGGAACCCATATGGATGAATTTCTCATACTCAGTTACGTTAAACCTGTTCATATTGTACTTTAAATGGACCTCTAATCCACGCATGATTTTATAGCGTCATGCCTTAGCAAGTTGGAAACTAGGCTATAACTGAGTCTGCAGATCTGCCAGATGTTGAAACATTTCATTTAATAGTAAAAAGCTCATTAATACCACTAACAGTCTCATGAAAGTCCAAAGTCAGAAGCTGTCAAGTACGTGGTGATGGATATAAGTTTTGCAAATTACCATTTTTGTCGGAAAGCTCCAATTTTATCATTAGCCACTGATACTGGCAGTTGTTTTCCTTGAAGTGGTGAGCTCACTTAATTTTTTTTAGATCGTGTCTGCCGGAGACCCAAGCTTTAATAACCAGTTTGTCAATCATTCTTTCAAATAAAGATGATGTTTCCAGAAAGAAAGCAGCTGGTTACACTGTGACACAACCCGCCAGACAAGTGCTTTTCTTGGAGACAACCACTGTGCTTCGTATGTGACAAATCCTTTACAAACGTGCTTTCCATTTCATCACACGGGACATGTACTTGGTGGTTGAAGTGAAATAAATTATTTCTACTGCATCCAGGACATTCTCAAGTGAAACTGGCCTTTTTAAACTATCCTTTCCGTCCCCTCCCCAGGCCTTGGACAGAGCCTCCCTTCTCCCCAGGAAGGTCACCAGGCCCTTTGAGGAAGGAGGAAGGAGACACTCCCACCAGGAAGGGATGTTGGCGACCATGGAGTCACCTCCAGGGCACTGTCCTGCTGGTGGGTCTCGCTCACTTGTCTCTTTCTTCCAAAAGACCCCGCTTTCCTAGACTGGTCTGAGCTGGATCCCTAGTTGTGGGGGGAGTATGTGCTGAGCCCCAGGAAGGGGAGGAGGCGGTGATCCCCCTTAGTTCCTGCATAAATGACGAAGCGGTTTATCCCTGCAGGGGTGTGGTCTCTTGTGTTTGGTGTCTCTCCCTAAGACAGAACCGCAGAAGAAAGATCACTGCATCATAGTTTATGACTGTCTCCAGGGCTCTTGGTACGCACGGCCAGCTCGGTCTCGGAGAGGAAGACAGTGCTTAAATTCTAGCACACTCAGTTTTTTAAAAAAATGCTCATGTCGGGGCAGGGGTCGGGAGTGGTGTCGGGAGGTAATTTTGGCTGTGATGATAAGCGAGGTGAGTTGGGTGCTTGTAGGTTCTGTACGAGGGTGACAACTAACTCTTCCTTTCTCAGACCCCATCGCAGAGTATCTCACAGGAACCTGGTTGGCTGGTGTTCGTTGCTGAAAATTAAGTGACAGGGGTCCTGGGCATGTTGCAAATATTTAAGTCTTAAAAGGAGGCTGAGAGTTCCTCATTCCTCCCCAGACACAGTAAGGGTTCACCTATCTGATGAAAAAAAATATATGGCCAAGTCATGGAAGAAATCTCTTTTAAAAAGAAGCTGAAAAGTGGTGCAGAGAGAAGGGGAACGAGATGACAGAAGGATTAACATTTCACAGAAAATCTGGGACCAGACAGAGCCAAGAGTAATGTGCGTCCAGGATTACAGAGTCAAGGATGGGACCCTCTGTGGGGTGCCACCCTCATGACTAATGATTGAAGCTCCCAGAAAGCCTTAGGGGAAACAGCGGTCCCTCTGATTTCCCCAAATAGCCACCACGTCCAGTCTGCCTTTAATTTCATCACTTTATTCAAATTACTTCCCTTGTGAATCCTAGAAGCCGGCGTTAAGCTGGCTCCTTGACTGAGCGTGGGTTTTTAAAGTTGGGATGGTGACGTTGAGAGTATAGCAGCTGCTTTTGAAACTGGAAAGGGAGTAGTTCGCCTTGCGAGGGGCGGCGATGGGAGAGAAGATCGAGATACACTGAAAAAGAACAGAAAGTGCAGTTCAGGCTGAGCCCTCGGATTTGCTGAAGTCACCTGTGCAGTCACACAGGAAGCCATCACCTACGCCCTCCTGCCCTGCTTTTAATTTCTGAATGTAAAGCACAAAATCTTTTCTCTGAAGCTTACTTACAGAAAGTGACAGGATGTGTTTCTACCAAAATCAAGAGTTCACCCTTGACGTGATAAGACAACTCAGTGTTTGTGATGAATGAAGATGTGCAGGTTTTAGAAAGAAAACGAGGGGCGAGTAAAGCTCCGCGGCAGAGCACACGCTGAGCGCTCACCAGCTCCAGGGCCCGTCCCCAGCTCCCAGCACCTCCACGCGTTGGGCCACTGTGGACGCCCACTTACCGGGCTCCATTAAAACAACAACAGCAGCATTGTGAATGCTTGATGAATTAATCGTAAAAAATACATTAAAAAAAAAAAAGGACAGAACAACAACATTCTCCAGTGCCTGGCAGTTTTGGTCTTCATGTGGAGCCAGGTAGGTGGGTGGCTGCAGTGGCAACAGGGCTTCCAGAATCAGTTTCTTAAAGCCTCAGTACTTTTTTATGGGACCAAACATTTTCACCTGAATTTAAACAAGGGCTTGACCGTAATTTTAAGCCAGTCAGTAAAGGAGCTCTCAGTTACAGTGTTTTTATAAACTCTACCCCCCACCTACGTTACTTTTTCTGTGACTCGTGTGCGCCGTCCAGTTTTCTGCTGCACAGCCTTTTTTATTGAAGTACGTAAGCTATTGTACAGCATCGGTCCTTTCACGCACATCACACATTTTGACCTTTCTATCACTTGCTTTTTAACTTTGTTCTCATGTCTTTAAACTATAAAAGATCTCTGTCAAATCTGGCCTCTTCGGTGGTTTCTGGGTTTAATTTCTTTTATAAAATTACTTTCCCAGCCACAGGAGTTCAAAAATATTCTGCTACATATTCTTTGCCTTCTTGCATAAGTTTGCCTCATATCCGGTTGTCTTGCTGACTTGTCGTGTGGTATTTTTCCGGTTAAGGCTTTCACATTTTGTAGTCATACCTTATACCATACATGAAAATTACCTCAAAATGAATTAAAGGCTTAAGTGTAAGATCTGAAACCATGAAACTAGAAGAAAACATGGGGAAAAGCTTTTTGACGTTGATCTCAACAGTGATTTCTCAGATATGACTCTAAAGGCACAGGCAGCAAAAGCGAAAACAGACACGTGGCGCAGTGTCTGACTCAGACACACACGGCTGGGGAGTAACCAGCCAGCGAAGGGGCGTCTGTGGGCTGGGAGAGAACACGGCAGACCACACACCTCATAAGGGGTTAACTTCCAAAATACGTAAGGAACCCCTGCAACTCAGCAGCAGCAGACAACCTGATTGTAAAATGGGCAAAAGACCTGAATAGACTCTTCTCCAGCGAAGACATACTAACGGTCAATAGGTCCATGAAAAGATACTCAGTTTTTTCCTTTTTTGCTAGTCATCAGGGAATGCATACCAAACCCACAGTAAGGTACTGACTCACACTGTTAGGCTGAGTGTTTTTGTTTTTATTTGAAGTGTTGGCAAAGTCATGAAGAGATTGGAAGCCTTGTACTCTGTTGGTGGAATGTCAGATGGTGCGGCTGCTGTGGAAACAGCGTAGAGATTCCTCAGAGACGTACAGCTAGCGCTACCACATGACCCAGCAGTCTCGCTTCTGGGTGTGTGCTCAGAAGAATTAAAGGAAGGGTCTTGAAGCCCCGCCTGCACCCCCATGCTCAGTGCAGCACTAATTGCACTAGCCCAAATGTGCATCAGCGAGCGACTGGATAAGGAAACGCAGCCCGCACATGAAGTGGGAGCTTATTCAGCCTCTTCCGAAAAAAAGAAGTCCCAGCGTTGGTGACGACGAGGGTGCGCTGGAGGACGTCGCGCTACGTGAGGTCAGTCTGTCAGGACGAGAACTGCGCGTTCCTCGTCTGCGTCTGCGAGGCACCTCACACGGTCAGACGCAGGCAAGCGGACGGTAGACTGGAGGGGGCGGGGCGGGGCGGGGCGGGGCCCCGGGAATGACGTCACCGCTGGCGGGGTGGCCCCGGGGTCGGCTGTGTAGCGCCGCGCCCGCGTGAGCGGAGGGCTGCTGTGCGCTGGGAAGCGTGCGGGTCTGTGCGGACGTCCAGGTTCGCCAAACCGTGTGCGTTAGCGTGTGCAGGCTTTTCTATACTAATTACACCTCAGTAAAACTGAGAACAGATAAAGTTGATTTCTAGCCAGTTTTTTAAAAGGTGAAACTGACGATAATTTGTTTCCTCTTTGGCTTGTCTGTGCACTCCGTTTTCTCGCTCGTCGCTTTGAGTGAAACGTCCGCGGCCGCGTTCCGTGACGGCGCGTGTCCACGCGGGCTTCCGCCTCTGCGGCCTTCGGTGTGCCGTCGTCGGCAGCGCGCCTGTCGCCGGGCCCCGGAGGCCCTTCCGTTGCCGTCTCCGAGTTCTACCGCGTGTGCGCCGCCGGCGGAATGGCGCGGCTGTTCCCTGCCAGCGCGGGCGCGGGGTGAGCGGTGCGCGCGCTCCCGGGGGGAAGCCGCCCCGCGTCCTGGGCGGGACGCGTCTGATCGCGGCGCGCGCCCGAACGAACACAGCCGCGCGCCGGGCGCGGGCCGCCTGCCTCTGTCGCGAGGAAGGGACGTCTCGCTGCGGGGGAGCTCCACTGGGTTGTTTGTGAAGATTTTGTGAGACGACCGGCGCTCTGCTCTTCGCCGTCCTGGAACAGTTTGTGTAAGGGGGGATTACGTGTTCCCGGATCTCTGGGAGAATCACTGGGAAAATCATCTGGCTTTGGCTGCGTTCCACCTTTTTTTGGTGGCGGGCTTTGCTTTTCACACGATTGTGTGGCCGTCAGCTCAGGCTCACTCTCACCCAGTGGGTGAATTTTTCCACAGTCATTGATTTCATCCACATTTTCAAATTTAC